TAAGACCTGGCATGAGGGTATGAAAGCCCTAACCAGGAGTCTGGGTCACAGGTCCTGTTAGGCTCCCTCACTGGGGACCTCGGGATGGTCGTACCCGATGGTTACAGGCACAGTGATATGGCGGGGAGGCGTAAACAGTGGCGTTCATGCATCTTCTCAGTTTCTCTGTATCCATAGTTCACTGAACTTTTCAATTTTCTCTTCAATCCTACTTTCAACCTTTCCTGTCTTTCTCCTAATGTTCATCCAAATGGGCAGCTGAAAGATACCAACTAAAACCAGGGCACGATAATGCATGTTTAATGGTTGTACAAATTGAAACTGAACCCTGTTGATGAGAGGTGGATGCAATAATGGGCCAAGGATAAATTCCGTTCACAAAAAGCCCTCTTTAATACACCATTTCCTATCGAGCTGTAGACGAAACCCGTAATTCTTGAGCTTCGACCGTGGCAATTATGTCGAAGGTTGCAGTGTTAATAATTGACGATAGCAATATCAATATATTTTTGTGGACGATTTTTATTATTCTTGGTCTGTTATTTTATCCACCTCATGAACGGAGCTCACTTTAGGTATAGCATGTACATTTTTGTGGCATCATTTTTTGATTTATTCCAGGTCTTGTGAATGTAAAACAATGTACCGTTTGTGTTACATTTGAGAGTTTTGATGACATAAATATTGCATGTTATACGGAAGCTGTACGAGATGTGTCAAATGGTTTTACGATACGAGCACATGGTATAAAACTTCTCTAATCAACATGTGGTGCAGCGTGCGACCACCACACCTTTTCGTCTCTTGACCAAGCTTTTCAACATCAAGATTTGTAGAAAGTAATTCATTCAACATTCGTTCACCTCAGAATATTACGATACTTTTTGATCTGACTGTCCGATAAGAATATGACAAAAGTTTGTGCGTCAAGGTTAAAAAACTACGGGTTTTGGCTAAAGCTTGATGAGAAAAGATGCAGTTGAATCCGTTTATAAGCGATGGGAAGGTTTGTAATATTCGACAAAGAGCACTGGGCAGTGTCTGGTGCCAGTAAACGATTGAATGAATTATTCTAAATTTACTACTCCTAATTAAACCGTTCGCACAAGGTGACGACCGTCGACCTTGTAGCTCTGGGTTTATTCCCGACTCGGATGTTCGCGGTTCGAGTCCTGACAGAGACACCAAAGTATGCACTGTTGACGAGCCCCAAACAAGACGAAGCATTTGTTCAACGCTCTTTGTCGGCGATCACAAACCTTTCCATAGCTGATAAAAATTCTTGTTTAAGAAAAATGGACACGGGAAATTTTGCTGGCAGTAAAGAGAACACGGTTGTGACAGCCCCAAGCATAAATGTGGCCGATATCAGAATTTGGGAGACACCGAGAAAGAGCGGTCATAGCTAACACTGGAATTAGCGGTGCGTGAGGAGTTTGTTTAAATGTGATATAGACCGGCTTTGTTTGCATGAAAATCATCAAGCTGTTACTAAGTTGTTTGGGAAATAGTACGAGATTTGTTAAACCTGGCATAATCAACAAGGATGTGCCCAAGCGATTGAATTCACTAGCTGATCGAAATAAGTTTGTGAATCTATAGCCGAATGTGTGTCAAACAAATCAGCACCTTAATCCGTATGCTTGCGGGAGAGATATTGCCAGGTTGCCGGGGCCAGGGTAGGTAATTTTTTAGCTTTCGATCCGCCGAATCCTGGCTCTCGAGGTAACCAAGCGGTGTGTGAAAGCCGCAATTCATTAAGGGCAGATCATGCGCGCATTGAACGGAGGCCAAATGTCCAAGGTGCCGTATATACTTCGATACCCGATCGAGCCGGTGGCCACTGCCACTGCCAGAAAGGTGTGATTCGTACGCCTCTTCTTGGTTGGTTTCGAATCAGGGTTTTTAACCAAATCCCCTAGGTGAACTGCCCGTGGTTCACCAAACCGGTTATGTTGGCTTTCCGTTCACTCACTTTAGTGGGAAAATACCTCCGCCATGGAAAGACAGTGAGCGGGGCTTAATCAGCAAAGCCTATTTGAGACGCTTACATTTCGTGAGATGCAAGGGAAGGGTGATCAGTCGCAACCCGAGGCACCCACTCCCCGACCATACGGAGGCTTTCTTAGGCCGACTCATCATCTAGTTGGTAGTCTAGAAAAGTGATAACATTAAAACTGCCAACGCAACACATTTTTCACATCGTACACGCTTAAGTTCACCTAGCTGTTTTTGCGTACGTTACCTTTCCCCATATCTTCTACAGCGATTTTCGGTATTGCGGTCGGTCTATTTGGTGTGTATACGTACGATCGGACGGCGGTTCTGGAGAAAGGATTTTTCCAAGGTTACAATGCGCTCACTTGGCTTGTGGTCGCCTTACAGACGTGCAGCGGTCTTGGTGTTGCGTTCGTTATTAAATACGCGGACAATATTCTCAAGGGATTTGCAGCCGGCCTCTCAATTATTCTATCCAGCTTCGTTTCTTATTTCATTCTGAAGGACTTCACCCCATCCATGTAAGTTCCGCCTGAATTGTTCGATAAATTGTAACGGTCTTGGTGTTCTTTGGGTTGCCCGGAGACAGGTCTTAGTTATCGCGTCGTTCCTAATGACCTGAGTATATCTCGTAACATGAATCCAATGATGGCACGAAGACTACTCTACGCTGCACTCACTGTACGCCATCCAATATTTCAAGATGGTAGTTGTGTTCTGCCTCAGCATCCGTTGGACTTCATTAACAGACACATTTCTTACTCACTATCTTGAATCGAAATGTATTGTCTGTTAGTGATGGCAACAATGTCCATCAAGTGCTGTTTCGTCTCCTTTCGGGAATCGTACACTCTGCATACTTTTCGTATCCTTGCCTGAACTCATACAGTAATCCCTCAGGTTGGGAGCCGAAACTTCTGTACTTCACGATTAACGGACAGTACTCTTAGCCAACGGCAATCTTAATTTACAACGGTGTGTTTGGATAGGCTCATTCGATTTTCACGGGGATTGCATGTAACATTTACTTTCAGTCGCTTGCTGTGCTTATCAGTCGACTGTCCTGTTACTGATTGAGGTCACTTCCCACAAGCATAGTAGCAGCAATACCCAACATTGTTTGCAAGGAAGTACCCGAAAAATGCGCCGTGTTGGCTTTTAGGGGGCGGTGCGACGACAACCACCGTTTATAACACGAAAATTTTTTACACTGAGTAGCGACCATGAAATATGCAAACAACACTGTTACCCAGTGTTTCCAGTTATCCTGGAAACATTGTATGACTGAAAGCGATGGTATCAAAGACTGGGTTGAGTATTTTTTCAGCTTTTAAGTTGCCTACATGTGACTGCCTATGCAAATATCCTTTTTTCTACACAAGAAGACAGCAATGCTGAGGTTAGACGCGGAGTTTCAGGTAACCATGGCCGCTCACTGGATCCAGTGGTCGTCCTCCGTAGATTACATTGGTTGGGGTACGTCACCAAATATATTGTCACGAAGTGTGCTGTTTTCCGAGACAGGTAGTGGTTGGAAAATAGTCATGGACGGTCAAACAGCATGATGGTATGAAAACTAACCAAGTGATGTGGTCATATAGGCTCCCTGGATGAGAATCTTCGGGTCAACGTAACCGTTGTTTAGAGACTGAGTGATATCGCCGGGTGTCGTAAATAGTGGCGCTCGTTCATCTTCTTAATCTCTACAACCTTCGTCCCTTTGAATTCTTCATTTTCTCTTTGACACTGCTATAAACATTCCCATCTTGATTCTGCTCTTGTATCCAAATGGGCGGCCAAAAAGCAACAACCAAAATCGGCGCACGAAAGTGCATGGTTAATGGTTGTAAAAACTCAAACTTTGTTTGACGGTTAATTTCTTAAAAAAATAATTTTCCAAAATTAAAGTTGGATTCCTGCTCTCATGTGTTGACCAGTTTAGTTTATTTGTATATGCACTCGGGTCCTTTTATTACACTAGTGCTATTTTCAGATTTGCTTTTGAAGGACTTCGAATTTAGTCATAGGGGTTCTTTTTGTTTCATGCGCATTTCGAAACACATCGCAAGTTATTCTGTCAAATATTACCCGATTGTAACCATCTCCTCATGTTGGCTCAAGTGCTTTTATTTCTGGTCGATGATGTTCCAGGCATATCTGTGATAATATCACAATATTTCGAGCTTTGTGCATCAAGTTTATTTCCGGTTTTTTTTATTACTCCGTAATATATGGTGGTGTAGTGTTTTAGTCACTGTCACCGGCATGCTTTGGACCCTATAATCCGAGCCCCGTCATTCAACTTTGATGGTATACAGCTTTGCTGTCATCCGGTGCAATACCGTGCCTAACTCAGCGGGGTTTCAATTGCCGGTTTCCATCACTAAACAATAGGTCTCCGTGAATATAGGGTCCAGCCCGTTGTTCACACAAATTTTTCATATCAGGGAAGCTCTAAACATTTCGTATGGTGTCTCCCTACCGCATTGGTAACAGGTTCACTCATGTATTTACTTTTTGTTACCGGG